TCAGGGTTTTAGGGTTTTACAGTTTTTAGGGTTTAGGAGTCTAGGATTCAAGGTCTGGGATGTGGGGTGTGGGTGCAGTATGTGTCAAGCTGGCGGTGTGTACGTGTAATCCTCTTTCTTCCACATGAAACTCAACATATGCCGTAGTTGCGTGTAGCCAGGTTTTGCTTCGCAAGTATGGGGCAGTTTCCTAAATAGGGTGATCCAAGAAACCCTAAACCTCATATAATCCCTGTAGAACCCATATAACCCCTTTAAAGCGACACCTAAATGTTGGCAGACTTAGAGCGGGGTGGGGTCGAGGAGAGGAAGGCATACAGGTTTAGGGCTTATTCAAGTTTAGGGTTTAGGATTTATTCAGGTATAGGGTTTAGGGTTAAGGGTAGGCTTGTCTAGAGTACATGGAGATCATACACCACTAAAGGAGAATCAAATGGAAAAGAACATGGAAGATGACATGGAAACTGGGAGAATATGGGAGTTAGAGGTTTGATACCACAAATCCTGCCTGCCCTAAACCCTGGGAATTATGGCATTAATTATGGTATACTGAAGTCATGCAGGAGCTTGAATATCAACAGTCGGGCTGGGGCGCTCCCACACCCCAACCCCAAACCTGCAACCCTACACCTAAAATCCATCCTCTCGACCTAGCGCCCTGTAATTGGGCGATCTGTAGCCATCAATCCTCACCACATAAGCCCAAAAAAACAGCCCCGGGATGGCGGGGGTGTTTTGTATTCGGGGATACGATTTGATAATTTCCCAAAATAGGGGGACCCCAATATAGACCCAAATATACTATGATCCTTATTATAGGGACCCCCAAAATGGTACCCCTAATTTAGGTAAACTCCCATTTCAGCCTCTGGGTCTCCTCTGGTTTAAACCATGGCACCCAGCAGGAGATTCGCGTGTCATGCTCCAACTTCAGCCATCTTGGCTAGGTGCAGATCAGAAGGGTTCAGGGTTTAAGGGTTTACGGTTCAGGGTGGCAAGCTTTTGGGCGAGGGTTCTTGAAACTAGGCTTTTCTGTGCGCTCATCAGTAATAGTAATAGTAATAATAATGGTAATAGTAATAGTAATAATAATAATAGTAATACTAATAGTAATAGTAATAACAATAATAGTAATACTAATAATAGTAATAGAAATTCTCTTGGTTGATGTGCGTTACGCCATGGCTTCAGGCTTACCAAGACCGAGCACTCACCAAATCCTGAACCCTCCACCTTAAACCCTCGTCCCAAACCCTAAAACCTAAACCCTACATCTTACACCCTGAACTCTTCTTGGAGGGTCATGGGGAGTTGCTAAATTCTCTCGTAAACCGTCTAAGCCACATGATAACCCCAGCTATGCCTTTTCTTAATGTACTTTCCAAGTCCCCCTGACACTCCAAACCATGACCCGAAACCCTACACCCACACCCTACACCCTAAACCCTAAACCCTAAACCCTGGACCCTAAACCTTAGACCTTAAACCCTAAATTCCAGGCCGCTTCTCGGCCACGGCTCCTGCTGCCACCCGGCCAATCGTCTCTCCTAAGCAGAGCCAGGGCTGCATGGGCCCGCTTTCGATCATATAGCAGTTTATGGTTTAGGGTTTAGGGTTTAGGGTTTAGGGTTTAGGGGGATTTTAAACATTTTTATTGAGCTTTGTAGAGTTATAGAGGGATTTCCAGGGATGTGTTTGTATGTATATATATATATATAGGGTACAGGGTTGTCGGGATAGTGCAAGGATTTGTCATTCAGGGTTCAGGGATTATGCTGTGACGATTGGAGTTTAAGGTGTAGGGTGCCCTTGGGGTTTAGAGTGTATAGATGTTAGGGTTCAAATCGAAAATCAACGGGCCAATCACATGGAAAATGACGTTTAAACTAGAAACTGTATAAATGTTATACAAGCAAATACAGCCTTTTTGCAAATTATTATTCAGGGTTTTAAGGCTTTAAGGAATGGGAAAACGAAATGGAAACTGAGTTCGTGCAGAGTTTACAAACGGCTTCAAATACACAACTTCACAACGTAGAGGGCATCGCTATCATGTCAGGTCTGGAAACTTCTAATTGAAGACCGGAACCATTAATGTTGACCTGCCAGCAACAAAAAAAAGAAGACGGGCCTCTCAAGTGGGCTTAAACTAATGTCGGGATTACCCTATCATGTCAGGTCTGGAAACTTCTAATTGAAAACCGGAACCATGCCAGCAACAAAAAACAGAAGACGGGCCTCTCAAGGGGGCTTAGACTAATGTCGGGATTACCTGTAACCCAATATGATGGAGTCTACTGGTAATTCCTCCTGAAATATGTAGGGGGTATAAGTTCTCTGGCCAAGAAATGTACGTAATTAGAGATATAGGTAGGGCTCACGGACTGGGAACAGGCATTTGATGATACGTACGTAGACGGAAGCGAGGGTGAATACAACCATAAGTTCGTCCCATGCTAGCGGTCCCTTTCCGTTTTTGGGCCTTTTTCGGGGCTTCAGGACCACAATATACGCCCAATATATGTGACAATCCATGTGATGGCTAGCCCAAAAGAGATCCCTAATTTTCGGGAACCCTCCTGTATAGCGGTGCTACTTTGCGAAAATGAAGGGTACCTTTTTGGAGTCCAATAATGGGGACCCTAGCATTTTGAGGTCCATATCTGGGGAACCCATTTTAATAAAAGGATTTTGGCAACTCCAACCCTCAAAATTAGGATCTTATGACTGTCATACAGTCATAGGGTCCATCCCCTTTCTATCTCGACCCCCTAATTAATTTCCGGAATCCCAAACCTTAAACCCCAAACCCTACACCCCAAACCCTAAACCTGATCCCTAAAAGCAAACAGCAGGATCCCAGGAACGCGCGGACGCTCTGCCGCCGCCGGAAGAGGCACGCGTACCGTACTTCACCTTTCCAAGGAAACCTTCTGGGCCTAGGGTCCCTTTTGGAGCTTCCGACTTCCGTAAGTATATAGGGCCCTACTATGAAGCCTAATACACCAACTCCTCAGTACCGGGACTCCCAAAAACGGGCCAATACTTTCAGGAACCCCACTTCGGCACTTTGGAGTTTGTGTGGGGCTGCGTGGGGTTTGGCTTGAAAATGGCTAAGGGCGTCGCGAAAAAGATGATGGTCGAGGGGTTAAGCGTTCATCAGCACAAGGCACGGGCAGCAAATAGCAGCAGCCTTCCTGAACATATCAGGGCAATGGGTGCAGGGGGATGAGGAGCAAACACTGTACTACAGCTTCTTCAAAGCACCTTCCAAGCCCTGAAGTACTTCATAATCACATGTCCGGCTCTTCTCAGAACAGGCTGATTACATGGGGCTTTATGACGTGTCAAAGTGGGTTTTATCAGAATATTGCCCCCAACAATGGAGAATCAAGTGGAAAGAAACGGGAAATTAAATGGAAACTGTGCTTACTGGATGCCTTTCCAAATTCAAAAAGTTTGTTCTTACACTTCCCAAGAACTACAGCGGTTCCTTCACCGAAAGAATACCGAAAATTAGTGTCTCTTCTGAGGCTCCTCATATTCGCTATAGGCTATAATCCAAACTCCTTACAGGGGGTTATACAGGGGATTATATAGGGGAGTATGAGAGGGGTTACCGTAGGGAATATTAGAAATCTAGACTATAGCTCCTATCACCACCCCACCTAAGGTCTATGTAAAGCTCCGGGGTACAGCTCAGTCATCTGCATCTGCGACTATACATAATCATTTCCATTTCATCTTCCACTTGATCCTCATTTGATTATCAATAACTGGGGCAACATCCTTATGATCACTATCAATCCACAACAACTCGGCCCCATGAGGCCTGGTACGTGTAGTCTGCGTGCCCGGGTCGGGGGGCTGAAGATGTGTTAGCGTAGTCGAACTTCCTCTGGTCCTCTAGATCAGGGATATCTGAAATCCATTCCACGGTCCTCACTATACAACAATCTCCATGTGCCTGGAGCTCTTGACCCAAAATCACTCAGCAGAGAGCCGGAAACAGCTCCTGGTTGCGAACCATCATCGCGATCGGAGTGCCCAAAGTGACGCCGTTTTCCTCAGCTTGAACCATGTTATGCTTTAGCTGAACCCCAAAACGCAGGAAAACAATGTCTACAGTGCAATGTTCTTACAATAACACGGCTCGTGGGTAGTTAGGGGTTTACTCCAATGAATGGGACCTGCCCCTGAACTACACACAACGATAACATGAAGCCACAAACAACAACAATTGCTGACACCCACCCTGCTTCACGTACGCCCAGAGTATACCTGGGAGGGACAACAGCAAACTAGCATCAAAGCACAGAAATAACAAATGAAAAAGACCCGGCCGAAAGCACTCTGGCGAAGGAATCTCTTTTTTCCACGCTTCTCGCATGGAGCCATGCCCTTGCACACATGAGTTGTGCTGACGTCAGCTAATTGCTCAATCCAGCGAGGTGTTTTGGAATTTGCGCAAGCCCGCTGCCCTGTAGCCCTTTCAAAGGGTCCGGAGCATAAGCTTATCAATGTCGGGCAATAGCAGAACTTCTTCATGCTGCTGCGGTTTTCGCAGATTCCAAATATCTTCGCTTCAACGAGCAGTCCTGTGGCTATACACAAGTAGATTTCCAGCCTCTGCAACTATGTTGAGACTAAAGGCTCAGAAGCCAAAAGAAAACAATCATGGCTGCTTCCACGCCTTTGTAGAAGGCATGCCGCAGCTGAGTCTACTGATCATGTGGGTTGCTGTTCAGGAACTGAGATAAGGCTGCTACATAACAAGGAAACGTTACTATAGCTGCTGTATACCCATCTTCTGGTAAGCTAAATCTAAGCCCTGATTCCTAAACCCTAAACCCTAAACCTTTTGCGTATGCATATCTATATATATATATACCCAGTCTGCGGTGAGTTATAAATTACCCTACACCCTCAACCCTAAACCATATATGTATATACCCACCTTATGGTAAAGTTGAGTTAAGTTAGCAGCAACCCAGTCATGGCCAGTGTCAAGCCTTGCAACCAAATTTGCCTCACAATCTTGCCTGACCAGAGCCAGACTTCTTCAGCCCCTCCAACTCCTCCTTCAGCCTCGGTGGGTTTAAGGGTTAGGGCTTTGCGGTTTAGGGTTTGGGGTTTGGGGTTTAGGGTTTGGGGTTTAGGGTTTAGGGTTTAGGGCTTTGGGTTTGGGGTTTAGGGTTTAGGCTCCTTTTGCCTCGGTGAGAGCTTGAAAGCTCACTCTGGATCAAAGTGGAACATGCGAAAGATGTATGGATCAAAATTTCCCAAAATCTGCCAACACCAATCCAACTTGCATTGCTATGACTTGCTAGAACCATGGTAGCTCGTACGCTAGCCGCAGCCCGTCCTTCTAACTTGCCACTCTTAGCCTTTAGAGTTTGGGGTCTGGGCGTTGAGGGTCCAGGGTTGAACCCTCAGCCCTGAGACGAAAGAATTACTCACAGTTATAACAACCTCTTCATAGAGCCCCTTTAAAGACAGTTACTGTAAGGAGGGATGCCCCAAGCCTAAACCCTAAGCCCTAAACTGCAGCAGGAAGCCTGGACATCCCCTGCACAAGCTGCGCACACTTTTGCAGCCATGCTACAAGCAGCATCCCCAGCACTAATCCCCAGACCCATTATAATGACAAAACAAAAACAATAAGACTAAGAATACTAGGAATGAGAATTATAATGACAATTCTACTGCTAATTATCACAGTAGGTACAAGGACTAAAGCTTAAGGTCGAATAAAACACCCAGACAAAGGTGAGCGGCTTCTTGATCGTCGCGTCCCGGGGATCCGGGGTCGGCCGCTTCACGAAGCGTAGGCTGCCAGCCGCTAGGTTGAGCATGATCTCCTCTTTCCGCGGTTTAGGGTTTTGGGTTCAGGGCTTCAACGCCTGGCAAACATTTTCATCCCTGCCGAAGGGCCCGTCTGATTTTCTCCCCAAGTCGACCCATGAGCGCTGCCACTTGCATGGCCCAAAGAAGCCCAAGGCAACAGACGGGGTTAAAGCTCTTGTGTTGTCCACGCTTCACATAAATACTGCTTGCCTGACTAGCAAACGCAAAGGGCACCAGCTCAGGCCCACAGTACACCCGCAGCAAAGACTAGTCCACAGCATTACAATATAGGGGCCACTCAGGAAAGAGCTCGTCGTTTAAAAAAATCACTTCAAGCCGTTCACCCCTCAGCACTCCCTACATCAAGCCAGGGACCTGAAAGCCCGGAAGAGAAAGATGTGTCCAACAATGCAGTTCTCCCTTGTCTACCCCCACAAACAATAAAACTTACAAAAAGGAATTCGCACAAAAATCGAGCCCGAACTGAGGAAACCCTAAGCCCATGGCCCCTACCTTGCCCTTTTCAAGGGCCACCAATCTTTTAAACCCTGGAAGAGAAAGCTTCGGATGGCCTCGCTTCCGCCAGGGATGGCCCAGGCCTTAACCTCCCGGTACACGCGCTCCACCTGCGATACTTGCTGAGGGAAAACTCCCAGTCGTATGGGAATCATAAGTAGGCCTGAAAGTCGAGCTACTCCAAGCATAAATCCTACTTGGAGGCTCACTTGGAGGCTCAGAAGGACTTCAAAAGTGGGTCCCTGCTTCCAATCTTCCCCCCTTGCCCCCGCCCTTGAGCCTTCTCGCCCTGGCCGGTGCGAGTGTAGCCAGCACCACCAAAGACTTGCAGAGCCTCTCGGGCGCAGTACTCCACTGTCCTGGACTTAGTGGCTGTAAGCGGGGAATGACGGAATGGAGGAGAAAATGAAAAATTACTTCACTACTGACTGGAGATGATATAGAGGCTACCTCAGGGATCCATTCCTCCATTCCCTACGAACAACTAGTAAAGGTATGGGCTGAGGTTGGCGGCCTGAGGCTCGGATTAAACTTCTCTTGGTAGGGATGCGGGTGGAAGAAATCTTACTCCACTTAGCATCCCCAACAGGCTGCCCTTCCAGCGCATGAGGTAGGAAGGGTGGTGGATCCTTTGAGTCAAAAGTGCAGCCTGAAATGGGCTGGACTTAGCTTCAGGTGTGGAATACAGCAACCGTTGGAGACATGTAAAAGTACATATGTGTATATATATGTATGTATAAACACATATTGGGGATTAAGTAAAGGTGTAGGGATAGGTGTATACATGTATATAGAAAAGTAACATATTTAGGGAATAGGATTGCGGGCTTAACCTCTCCAACTAACATGAGAAACTGAAAGACCAAGAAGGGGCCTCACAAAGACTGCTGTCCAAGTAGAAGGGTTTATTTAGTCATTATGTCTAAATATATATTAACATGGTTCACTATTATACTTAATAATTGCTGTATTTTAACTGAAGTACCAGGTTTAGGATTCCATGTTGGCTGGGGCGAGGGTACTGTTGCTCTTGGACATCTGCTACTACTTCCCTTCCACTTCCCTTGCTGTGCTGCGGAGATGTCGATTGTCGCAGGACTTTCCCTGGCTTCTCAGGAGGTCCAAAACAGCACGAAGCTACAAAAAGCATGTCACCGTGTCCATGGCATTTCGTCTACCCGGTATGGAAATTGCCCGCAGACTAACACAACATCCTTGTGATTCCTGCGTGTTCTATAGTCTAGGGGGGTTATATAGGGGACTATATAGGGTTCCTTGTATGGGGCTTACTAAGGGGGATACTAGGAGTTTAGATTATGGCTCATATAACCCCAAAATATGTCTTATTATAACATAATAGCATCCATTTTCTTTTCCGTTATCCCAATATAACCCTTATGTACCACAACATAACCCATATATAACGCTCGCATGTTCTTGGGTTCCCAAGGTTTCCTCAGTTGAGAAACTTCATCTTTGCCTCCACGATCTGACAACAAGAAACGGTGCGTCTTGCAAAGGTCCGGGCTGAGGGGCTTAGAGTTTAGGCTCTAGGCTTTAGGCTTCAGGGTTCAGAGTTTGGGGCTTAGAATTTAGCTGGAATTTAGTGCCGAGAAATAATATACTGTCCTGCATCATCTACCCTTTTTTGAATACTTTGCTCGTAGTGCTTTGGCCTTAAACCATACTAGTACCCCACAGAAATTGCTTCTTGGAGCGCCCAACTGACTGCACATAAGACATCCCAAAACCGTAAAAACCAAAGCCCGACTGCACGCAACATTAATCTCCTCCCCTAATATTAGCACCCCCCCACCCCCCTAATATCAAATGCTCCCAATATTGCCTCTCCACCCCCCCTTATATTAAATACTCCCATTGTGGCATGTTATAGTAGATTGGGAGTATTTAATATCACCGGGGGTGGGGGGGTTCAAGATTATGGGGAGGGGATTTATGGATTCGATTGTTGAGCAAGCCGCTTGGTGGCTGTCACCTTCAGGAGCGCAATATAGCCGCCGAGCTTTTTGTTCTGCTCGTCCTTGGTCCTTTGGGGTTTAGGGCTTAGGGTATATGAGGACTTCAGCATCTGTAATCCTGAGTATGGGGACCCCGAACATGGTAGCGCTCATTTTGGGAGACCACAAATAGAGGTTTTTGCGGGGTTCACCACCCAGGCTTGGGGCTAACGTCGCAAAAAGTCCCTTGAAGTTCATACCACTGCAACAAGAAATATAGTAAATATGAGGGTTTCTGTTATGGCAACTTACTTTAAATTCCTTTGTAGCAAGGCAGCAAGCACAGCATGTAGCGGCATGAGTGTTACAGAACACGTGTTGCCATTTGAGCATATGTGAACTATAAAGAATCCGGAAGTCTGCAAACGGAAAAGGCCCAAATCCAGCTGGGCCGCATGGTCGTGAGCTGGAAGGTCCTTGCGTCATCTTGCATCGCTCTCAAGGAGCACATGCTGGCACTTAGGACATCACTAAACCCCAAACTGCAAACAGACTCTGAAACAGGACCAGCTTCAGGTAATCGATCCATGCCTGCAGAGCCTCACACTGACGCCCCATCTCGCCGATCTTGTGTTGAATGACCTGCAACAAGCCACGACCCCTGAACCCAATAGTACAGCCCTATATGACCCTATACCTGAGCCTCAGACAGAAGCCCTCAAGGTACCCGAATATAACCCTAATA